TATACTCGCAGTGACAGTTCAAAGTAAACATTATATTTCTACACTGAGAAAAAAATATAGTCGTCTTTGGCGTCAACTATATTCTTTTGTGATTTTAACCACAAAAATAGTTAGAAAAACCATTATCTTAGTAAGTGTTATTAGAAAAATGGTTCTTCTAATTATTTTTTTGGTCAAAATCTCAAAAAAAAAAGTATAGTTGACGCCGAAAGCAACTATATTCTTCTCTCAGGATATTCCCACACGAAGGATCACTTTTGTCTCTGTACAGTTCTCTTAGATTAATTTTGTCGGCTTGACATCAATTTGAAAAGAAGAAAAAGATTGATAACTCGCGGCTGCTTTGTGGTACATCGCAGATTCACTTTCTCAATGTATGCGTTACTCGCTGCTGCTTTTCTTCGACAATGCTCGAGGCTAATTCCACGTCGGGTTCAAGCATGCCATGAGACTCTATTGTAACAGCGACAACGTGCAAAACTAGTTGTCGAGGTAGGGGAGTAGAATAAAAGATCTGGCATAATATGGCGGTCTCAGAAAAAAAAACACGTGGAAACGATGCCGATAGCGCACGGTTATTCTTTGCACTTAGTACGTCGTAAGCAAGTTCTTGCTCCGTTACCTTGGCATATTTTCGCTTCGCGCACACCTCCGATTCCGTTTCTACCGACAGATAACGGAGGACGGATGGTTCCTTTCAGTAATCGCGATTATCCGTGAGCGGCGGCAGTACGCGTAACAATCGCTAATTGTGACTGTTAATTGTAAGCAACGGCAAGTAACAAACGGTAAAACACTGAGAGAAGAATATAAAAAGAAGAATTCAGAGAACAATTAGAGAAGATTTAGAGAATATAATATTTTATATATGTATATATATATACATACACTAAGAGAAAAATGACCTAAAATAAACAAATATTTCTTTGATGGGTGCCATTAACATATTTACTCAAATTTAAATTCTCTTTATTTAAATCAAATATAATCAAATATAAATATTGTTTGCCTGATTTAAATAAAGAGAATTTAGATTTAAATAAATATGTTAATGGCACTCATTAAAGAAATATTTGTTGATTTTAAGGTAATTTTTTCCTCAGTGTATACATATATACATATACGCATACAGGGTGTCCCAAACTCTCCTCCGCAATTTTTATGGCAACGGATTGAAATGAACATAAAAGTCTTATACCATTTTGCGATATTCGCAAATAATAAAAATTAATAAAAAAAATAGTCGAGTTAAATAATAAAAAATAATAGTCGAAATGTTAATTAAAGAAGATTAGTCAATGATCATGCGCGATATGATAGATGAACTGTTGCGAAATGTGCTGTGTGCTTATACATTAAGTCAAATTGAACGAAAAAGCCCTTTATCGTTTTGAAAATAACCATGATTTTTATATTTTTAATTATTAATGAAAGAAAATTATTATATGATTGTGTGCAATAATGCACAAATCTTCTTTAATTAATGACGCAGTAGCATCTGTATCCATTACAAAAGTGTTGCAGCAAATTGCAAACAACAAATCGTTTGTTTCCATAATAGAATTGTTTTCCGATATTACCGACCATTTGTTTCGTTAAATTAGCAAAATTATTTTACTCAGTGTACACTTGTTTTCGAAGATTTCTAAGAGCGCGTACTTTAACAGTTATCGGCGAGGTTCACGTTTTAATGAACCGTTCGACCGCGACTGCCGTGCGTCGCTATTTCACTCGTAGTTGAAAGGTCACGTTGATTCCATTGTGCATTCGAACGTGTTTGTGAAATAGATTTCCCCACAGGTCGGTAAATGCATCCGGGCCGGTATCGAGTCTGCGATCGAATCGGCGCGGTGGTTTTTGGAGCACGGGAAAAATGTTCGACTGGATTAACTAAATTTCCCAAATATGAAATACGAACTATTTGTGTGAAATATGAACGCGAGGAAAAGAAAATTTTTTTCGAAGTTATCAGAATTCTGTTTAACCCGAGATCTCGTTAACTCGAACAAAATTCTGATAAACTTCTGAGGAATTTCGTTCATATTTCATGGTTTATGTTTCGGAAATTTGCTTAATCAAACGTCTTATCGAGAACATATCGTTGGCAGTTTAACCATTATTTAAAAGAAGACAAATGAGCTGAGTAATCGCTTTTCTCAACAACAGAATAATATTCTGTTGCACAAAGCACATGAAGCAGCTTAAGAATTACACGTGATTGAAACAAACGCGCCTGCCGATCGGCAATCCGGCGTGCACGCACAGCCTCGTCTGAGTATTCCATTTCTTTATCTCCTGAGGACGTACGCGAAGTGTATCCGTACACTTTACTCGCTCGGTTCCCTCAGGATCCTATGTACACATGCGTGAGATGTTTCGCGAGGCTGAGAGTGTCGATCGTGTATTTCTTCCTCCAGCGTAACTCGTGAAAAGCGAAAAATTCCACATGAAAATATTCCATTGTCGAACAAGTTACACGAACACTAGAGTCGTCGAGTTCACGTGACACTTTTCACTTCTCGCGTTTCTGCCTTTAGGAAAAAGCTACACGATCGCTACTCTGATCGTCGCCTTTTTCCGTCCGTCGCGATGACATTTCTAAGCCGAAAGACAGCGTTTCCACGTTTTTACATCTCTTTCTCCTTCTCGATCTGTACTTTTTACTTATCATTAACCCATAACAGGCACCATGCCTTTTTCAAGCTATAGGTACAATGGAATCCGGCGGACCCCAATAAATTTTTGCCATTTTTAACATGATAAGAAAAAGTAGAAAGAAAAACGCTTTATAGTTTGAAAATAATACTTTACGAATATTATATTACAACTAGACATATATAATAACAGTCTCAGTTTTTCAGTAATCTAAAAAAAAACGTTAACTGATTATAAAATGAACACAATGTGGACAGTGTTGAAATAAAATACACTGAAAGACAAATAATCGGAAAAAGAAAAAAATTTATGTTTTTAATCTAAGTCTACAAATTATAGATTATATAAAAAATATAAACAAGTTATTAAATTAGATACATTATTAAATACATTAAATACATTGTTAAATTAAATACAATATTAAAATATTAAATACAATATTAAATCTTAGAGGGTTTTTAGGTGCAATCGTTACAGATAGGACTTCCACATTTGGTGGATATTGGTTCATTGCATCTAACATATATTTCTCTGGACTTCATACCTTTCTAGGACATTTATTATATCTTACTCTGACAAAATAATTTTAGATATTTCAGTTTCTTCAATTTTTAAAATAGATGAAATTATTAAACGCAATGGCTTATGAATATATTGAGTTGTAAGACGTCTCTTAATTTCAGGTTCTACTAACTGAAAGGCAAGAGCTTTTACTCTTTTGCGTGAAGAATGAATCATATTGAGCTGAAGATTAAGAAAATTACTTTCATAAAAGTAACGTTAACGGTACAATGGGGTCACTGTGTTCCCAGACGAAAAACAAATGCATATAATTCACAGCTACTTACAAATAACTCGGTGATCTCTTCTTCTGTCACACTGAAAACTGTTACTCGAAAGATACTGAAGATATTAGCGTCATACAGTGGATAGATTAAGAATTATCACGAAAATAAAATTAGTTGGGGTCCCCGGGAGCACATGGAACCTGTTACGGTTAACCCACGTAGGACGTAAATAACTCTACTTCCGCATGGGGAACGCGTGTACCGCGTGCGCGGCGCGTGCCAATTTTCCTCCGCTCGCCGGTGACGGTGACGGTGACACGCGGTCGCAACGTGACGATAACGTTTTTCCCCTTAAACAACAACGCTTCCGCGATCGCGCCGCAGCCGCCGACGGCCTTAAGACTCGGCACCGAGACGTGCATGCATGATCCGAGAAAGAAAAACACTCGACTCGACGCGGAGAACGCGAAAGCCGCAACGACTTCTCGCCGTGGTTTCAACAGCTCGCTGCTTATTCACAATGTGTCAACCCTCTGCCTGTTTCGGGAACATTTAAATCGTCCATTACGGATTGTGCTAGGAAAAGAAGTCGTAAACATTGGGTTAAACAACGTTCTGACTAGAAAGCGGAAGCCTGAAACAATGAGAAGGACTTTTGATTGTTTCTTATTTATACATAGGGAGGAAAGTAGGATAGTAAACCGCGTTAGCGAAAAACAGGGAAACAGATGGAGGGTAATGGACTTGTTTCGGGGCACGAGTGTGCCTTCGCGAATCACCGTCGCTGGTGTGACTTGTCGCAGCACCAGCACGTGTCATCGACGCAGAAAAGGACCGCGCGTCGGAGTGTCAAGTGTCCGATCGGTATCCATGGTCATGGTTTTACGCGTCAGAAGGAGGTACGTCCCTCAGCGGGGACTTATCCTTCCGACTTATCCTCGTCACGACGTGATCCGCGCGAATAGATAGAAAAAAGAAACAAAAGACGTCACCATTATCATTCGACGGCGATATCGCGCGAGTCCATGAAGAATCGCGGGTGGAGTCACGGGCGACTCCGCGATATCTCGCGGTGCGCGAGGAGACCAGGGGGAACCCCATGTTTACATCGCACAAACGGGTGGTGGTAGCTCGTCGTCGTCGTCGACGACGACGACGACGACGACGACGACGATGACAGAGGTGGGGCGTCGGTCGATCGCGCGGGGGGTGGTCGAAAGGTCGCGGCCCCGTCATTGATACGGTTATAGGGAACGCACTTTGGACCAAATCGTCGCGCCGACTAAGAGGGATAAAGCGCGACGGCGTTGCGTCAGTGTCGTCTCGGCCACGCAACGCGACACACCGGAAGGCAATTGCAACGCAAGACGTCCTCCGCGCTCCTCGTTGCCGCTCTTCTCTTTGCTCTCGCGCCCTTTCTCGATCAATCGACCGGTGGGATAAAACGCGGGGGTACCATGGACCCCAGCCAAGAGCGACAGTAAACGCGCCCGAGGGAACTCCGCGTCGCTCGCGCGCTACCAGGTGATCAAGAGAAGGAGGAGGAGAGGTAGATAGTTAGATAGAACAAGAGAGAGAGAGAGAGAGAGAAAAGGCAAAAGAAGCAAGAGCGCGAGAGAGAATAAAAGAGCCGCATCTTTCGCTAGTCGAGGTCCGTACGCGTTGTTCACACGTGACACTCGTATAACGTGCTGCGTGGGCAAGGACGAGAAAGAGAGAGAGAGAGAGAGAGAGAGAGAGAGAGAGAGAGAGAGAGAGAGAGAGAGAGAGAGAGAGAG